ACAAACAGCGCAAGGACCTGAGACCTGGATTCTATTCCCAGTACCACATGCTGTGCTGGGCCCACCTCAGGCATGCCGAGCCAGCCACCAAGACCCAGCAGGGTGGTGCATTCCTGTAATCCTAGCTCTGGGGAGGCTGAAACAGGAGGCTCACCATGAGTCTGAACTGTTTAGTGAGACCCTGTATCAAACACATAAATTTTTTTTAAAGTATAAAGGAAAAAAAAAAAAAAAGGACACCCAAATTTAAAAACCCACTCCAAAAATGGGCATCTGAGATGAATATACACTTCTCAGATGAATAAAAGCAGAAATAAATTTTAAAAATGCCCAACAATGGGCTGGCCAGATAGCTCAGCAGATTAAAGAGCCTACTTAGGCAGATTCAGGGACCAGGATTTGATACCCAGTGTGCCATGCTGGCTCTGTCCCCAGGGCTCGCTGAGAGGAGACTGAGACTGGGCATGGTGGTATACGCCTGTAATCTCAGCGCTTGGGAGGCTGAAAACAGAAGGATTACTACAAGTCTGATCTGTGTAATGAGACCCTGTACTAAATACATTAAAAAAAAAAAAAGTCCAACATCACTGGTCATTTGAGAGATGCAAATTAAAACACTTACATTTCATCTCACCCCAGAAAGAATGGCTATTATCTATAAATCTAATAACAAATGCTGGAGGGGATGTGGGGAAAGTCTTTCTGTACTGTGAGTGGAATTGGAGGTAGACTGGTCTGACCTCTGAGGAAATCAATGTGGAGATTCTTCAAAAAAATTAGGATTGAAGGTCTCATCTGACCCAGCTATTCCTCTGCTTGGTATCTTCTCTGAAGAATTAAAAACATACTAGCCAGGCATGGTGGCACATGCTTGTAATCCTAGCACGTGGGAGGCTGAGGCAAGAGGATTGTTGCAAATTTGAGACCAGCCTGGGCTACAAAGTGACTCAAAGCCAGCCTGAGCTGCATAATGAGACCCTGTCTCAAAAAAGACAAGAAAAAGATTTTTTAAAAAAATCATGCCACAGTGATATATGTAATTTGTAATAGTGAGATATTGAAAATGACCCAAATGCCCACCAACCAAGGAATGAATAAAAAAGATTTCTTTTTAGGTTGGGCGTGGTGGTGTGCCCCTGTAATCCCAGCACTTGGGAGGCTGTAAACAGGCAGATCATTACGAGTCTGATCTAGTAGTAGGACACTGAATACCCTGTAGACCCTTCCCTAAAAAATACAAAAAAGAAAAAAGAAGAAAGAAAGAAAGAAAGAAAGAAAGAAAGAAAGAAAGAAAGAAAGAAAGAAAGAAAGGAAGGAAAGAAAGAAAAATGTAAAAAATGGCCCAGGGAGATAGCTCACTAGAATAAGCACTTGCCTGGCAAGTGCAGGATCCTGAGTTCAATCCCCAGTACCAAAGGGGGGGAAAATTTCTTTTTAATACAATATAATACCACTCAGCCATAAAGAAGGGTAAACTGGGGGTGGGGAGATAGCTTGGAGATATAAGTCCCTGCCTGGCAACTGCAAGGTCCTGAGTTAGATCCGGGCACCACATGCCCTGCTGTGGTGGTGCTCGCCGGTAATCTCAGTGCTGAGACAGCACAATAACTACAGGTCTGAACTGTATAGTGAGACCCTGCATCTTTTTTTTTTTTTTTTTTTTTTTTCTTTTGCGGAACCGGGGATTGAACTCAGGCCCTTTTGCTTGCTAGGGAAGTGCTTATTCCACTGCACCATCTCCC